CGACACGCAGGAGACTGTGGAAGGGCTGGCGAGGCAGGGCAGGAGTGCTGAGCACGCACGAGTGGCTCCACATGTCCCCGCACACCGGAGCTTGGAGCCTGGAGAGCACAGACCCGCACAGGCTACTCCCGGGCTGCTGCACAGCCCTCCCCAGGGCAGGCTGGCCGGATTTCCGACTATTTAACCCCACGTATCAGGCCCTGAGGAATGTATTTCAAACATATAAAAAAGTACTTCAGCGTCAGGAACACATTCCAGCGACGACAAAGCAAGTTGTCTCCGAGCCAAAGGCTCACCAGCAGCTGCTTCCCAGGCGCTGACGGGGGGGCTGGACGAATGCAGCCCCCTCCGGGGCCGGGCACAGCGGGGGATGCACGCAGGAGCGGAGGGGGATTTCTGCACCAAATGAAATGACAAACCGGTTCAGGGCCACAGAAAGGAAATCCCCAAGCCAGAACTTGATCATGACACCACAAATAACATCTCACTCTTGCAAAGAGCTGGGGGGGGGAGGTTTACTAACCAGCAATTCGTGGTCTCAGACTGCATGTGAAACTCGGAAACAGCACCGCACGACTGCATAACAGAGGCCCCTCCGCTGACACCAGAGCCCAAGCGACCTCCCCCCCCCCCGGCCCCCGTCCTGCAGGGTGGGAATTCCCTGCAGTATGCACTGAGCATCCCGTGGCGTTTTCCACTGAAATACTGCAAAAGCATTAATCCGGAAAGGCCTGCCGAGATCATTTCATGGGACAACATTCTGGCTACAGGTGAAGAAGCAAAACCTAACATATCCCAAGTCCTGTCCAAAGACCTCTCCCCCTTTCTTCTCTGTTCCAGCATGTACCTCTTCCCATCCATCCCCTCCCTGGCACAGCAGCACCTTCTCCAGGGTAACAGAGGGACCTGACCCCCCTCTCCAGTTCTTCTAAACCACCTTCTGACCAAAGAAGGGTCAACCAGCAATTACAAAAAAAGTAAATTACTTATCTGGAATGCCACAAATATTAGCAACAGGGAGAAATGCCAAGAGTTATAACCTGTTCCCATTGTTTCAAAGAGGACTGTATTTTCTTGAGGCGGAAATCATATCACCCTGTGAGTTTACACAACAGCTGCATCTCCAGCACCGAGAGGCACCATCAAACAAACAAACCAACCCCAACAACTGAGCTCTAACCCCGAGACTGGGAAACCGAGACACGGCAGACAAGACCGAGTTCGAGCTGGTACCGAGCAGGGTATTCAGACGAGAGCAGACTGCACACTGGGGTTCATGGAAGTGTATTTGGGGGACTGTGAAAGTCCTAAAGAAGAGTTAAGTGTCCCCATGTGGAAGGAGACAGCAGGAGACTCTCAGACACAAAAGACAAAAACAGCTCCTCTGAACAGGAAGAGTACAAAGAATAGGAAGGTGCCAAAGCAGCTCCCAGGGGAACTGCTCAGACATACACCATTAAACACCCTGAACTAGAAATGGAAAGAGGAGGAGTCAGAAACCACAAAGAACCTTGCAATGCAAGAGCTCTGCGGCCACCGCAGCACGCAGCGCGTCCCACCACCCACCACCCTCTTCCACCACTGCTCCCAGCCTCATTCACTTTTCCATCAGGGAGACGGCGAAACAGGGTTAGGAAATCCAGGAATATCCAGGCGAACGTACATAACAAGTCAGAGGAG